GCCTCAGTATTCTCTTTATCTCTCTGTATCTCAGACTGTCTCTTTCCTCCTGGGTTGCCTACAGATCAGATTTGGCATGTCTGTCAGTAAGCTACAGAGTTACAGAGTTTCATGATTCATCTCAGCTATATGGGTGACCCACTTCTGCACTGACTCACACATTTTCATGCTGTGAAATTAAGTACTGCAAGTACTTTGCCACATCAGTTCAACAATATACCCACACTACCAACATGTGGTTCACTACTTTTCCTGCTAACTTTGTCCTTTCACTTTCAGAAATAGAGTGCCACAGGGTGCTATTCTGGGCCCCCTATTTAGAAATAGGCCTCAATATAAAGAGCAATTACTAAACATACTAAACACATTAAAGCAACCAAAAAACAGATTATAGGGAAATATGTTTTCTTTTTACCTAATGAAATTATTGTACTATACTAATTATATTTCCTTATACAGAGTATTTGTTTAAAGTAAAGTTCGACTCCAGCAGGGGCTTTAACAATAAACCGTATTGGCCATTGTACTTTATAGTAATGACATGCTAATGCAGAAGTTCTCAAACTGACAGAGCTGACCCAGGACCAGTCCTACAGCATGCCTGCGCCGTGGGCTTCTCAGGTACAGCGAGTCTAACAAACTCACACACAAAGCTGGGAGATCTGTATTAAAGATTGGACTTTAGATGTAGCACAAAATGAAAATGAGAAAATTGCACAGTATAAATCTATTTGAGTATACCTCAACAATGGAATTATGATCGGTAGAAATGGCCATGACATGGGACTTTTAATTAGATGTATTATCTCAACAGATTTAACATAACTCTATGAGGTTAGTTGAAAGCAATAATATTAAGCTTAAATAATAATAACAAAATAATAGGTTCAACTTGAAAATACATAGATGTGTTATGAAACAAAACTAATGCCATACACACTTTAGGAACCTTTTACGAAATGTGTGGATGCAATAACTGAGAAAATTAATAAGATGCACGGTGAGCCACTATGCACATGTGCTATGTTGTGCACAACTATGCAAGCTAAGTAGCCTACAGTTAGCTACATAGCTAACAGTGAGTGAGCGTTCAGACACCTGCGCACACACTCAAACAGACTCGTGTGCCTGACTCTACCAACAGGCTTTCATGATTCTGTTTAGATATGCAAGTATAAGCCATGATAGCTTATTTTATTAACACGCTAATTCGATATGAAAATCAATGGAGGCTGTTATGGAAATCTAAAAACCCCAATACTGTAGAGTACAAGTCAGAAAAAAAATAAATGGTGAATCCAACAGAGTTGTCTTTCTGGTGATGTTTATTCGAGGCCTCAAACAAACATCAGATACAATAAAATATAGACACAGGTCTCACAGAGTATAGGATAGTCTGCGCGAGTGTGCGCAGTTGAATATAATAGCAAAGCTTATAAGGGAGAGTAAAAAGGTGGGGAGGAGAAGAAATCTTCACACGGTCACATTGTTATTAGACACCTGGCCTTGAGCTGTAGAAGTTCTCGTGTGACTTTGTGTGAGTCAACTCAGTAGCCAAAACAGCTCTGTGGCCTTGAAGTAGAGAAGATAGAGGAAAACAGCACAGTAACCTAATGAGAAGCATTTGGTTACTTTGAACATATCAGGATATTATAAAATGTCCACTACAAGGCTGAGTTAACTTTGCAGGAAAACCTACTGTCCATGATGCCCCTGGCCCTGCGCTGTGTTTTATTTGTTAACTTCATATTTTTCATTTCCTAAAACATTTATTTTCCTCTCATATTAACAGTGTGGATCATGGAGTCTTATCCCGTTTTCCCACTTCCTCTGAGGGGACAGCATTAGATCCACGGAGGAGGGGGGGCATGAAGAAAGACCTGCACCAGCTTCATCCACGCTGGCGTTGCTGTTATCACTGGCTCAGTGTCATTTCATTTGACCTAATGTCTTTACATATACATTTAATAGATTTTATTATTATCCACCTTTTTGTTTTATGTCCTTTTATTTCAAACCTTCTTTGAGACTTCATCTTCTGGTTCAAATTTCAAAAAATGTAATTTGTATAATCACTCTTTTGTCTTTATTCTACATGAAAATGTTAGAGATTCCATTCAAATCTGTTGATTATTCATATCTTCCTCAGGAATAGTATGTCGAATTTTTATTGCTAAATGTATATCATTTTCTCACAGGATATAGATAGTTTGTATCCATTGTGTATGAATAAATGCTTCAGCTCTTCAGACCAACCTAGTAAGATGTGAGCATGTTCCTAATTGTGTTGGTATGCAGCCTAGGTCTGGTCTGTTTAATAAAGCAAATCTGCCACTTTTATATTGCAGAATTTGTTAAATTAAAGCAGTCTTTAATTGTTTGTCCTAAACATAGCCGTATATGCTTTTGAAATGTAACATGTCTTTGAAACAGTATACAGTTTATATTGTGCATCACCTTTAGCTTGAAAATGCATAGATGTGTTTTTTTGTATCTATAAAATAGACAGACAGACACTTTATCAATCCCAAATTGGTAAATTATTTAACAGCAGCAGTGTGTTCAGGTATTACAATATTTAAAGTTGGAATAAAGTATAAACTACACATCACAAGTATAATGCACAGCAATCCATAAGATAAGTCCGATATGGTCATGAAACTCCCCAGGATACACCAACACTACGCGGCCGAGTGGACTCCGGAGTTTGCTACATGAGTTGCACTGTACGATCTGTGGTGTAGTGGGCTTTCACTCAAAAACTGAGTAGCCAATGAGGACACACCCCTGAAAGTCCCGCCCACCTGAGACGTTTGTGTCAAAATCGAAAACAAAAAATTAGGGAGCGCAAACAAGAAGAGCTGCAGCGAGAGCAAAAGTCTGATCATTGAGAAATAGGCACAGAGAACTGCAAACAATAAGATATGTTAAAACAAAGAAAAAAGACTTATAGTTTACATGATTACACAAATGATTTGTTTGCAACTTATAGTTTTATTTTTGAAATTACATTTATTTAGCTTGACTCAGTTTTTTTTTCTCTTTAACTCTTAGTTTTGCTTGATTCTGAGAAAGTGTTGCTTTATCTTTATGAAACAAAACTAATCCCATACACACTTTAGGAACCTTTTACAAAATATGTGGATGCAATAACTGAGAAAATGTATAATATGGCTTGAGTCACAAAAACATATACTCTGATGTGCTTTTATTTGAAGCAAACATTTTTGAAAAAACGAAATGATGTTGACGTCTAGTCCAAAACAGAAAGAAAAAAATGCACATTTATATATACAGCTCTCAGAAAAAAAAGGTAACTCTCTATTATTAGATTACTTATATGCGTTAAGCCCCTCCCACAGCGCACTCAACTATCTATCAACTTAATTATTGTAATTATAAATAAATATAAATGTATTCAAATGTATCCCAAAATAATTAAAGACAATAAATCAAATAAGTCGAGATATACTACTATTTCTGACCGCTGAAGCCCTAAACAATTACATTTTTAAACCTTAGAACATATTGTCATCCATGCCCGCACACTTGGTACGGTCCAATTGAGTACAGTGTTAACTGATTGAGCCTCTACTTAAAGGGGACCTATCATGCAAAAGGCACTTTTGTACATGAATATGTGTCCCCGGTGTGTCAGGGAACTCACCAAGTGTCAGAAAACACAACCCTCTCTCTTTTCCTCCATACCCAAATCTCTAAAAACGGGGCTGCAACGGATCTGATAGACTGATACAGATTTGAAAAATCTCTGACATCAGGAACGAGGAGCTCCGCCTATATGGCCAACTCTCCACCTATCAAGGGAATGAGAGGTTGGGCCACTGCCGGCCATTGCCACTCGAAAGCGCTGGAGACGCTGTAGTATATATGCCAGGCCTGTAAGTGGCGCTGTAGTCTGCCACAAAAGCAGCGAAGAAGACTTCCCTTGCATGGTTTCCATGGTTGCCCTTCTGTTTATTCTCCGCTGTGGCTCTTTTTCTCCCTCCACGAGGCAAGCGTTTGCTCCCGCTGCTGTAATTCAATGCAATCCCTCCCTCGCTGTAATTCTCTCCGGTTAGTCCGCCAGCAGATGACAAACACCCACCTCTCCGCCTCTTCCAATGGACGAGGGGACCGTGCGGCAGAGTTTCAGTTAGATTTTTTTTCGCCGGTCAACATGTCCGTTAAAGTTTCAATCTTCCGGACAAAATTAGAAAAGTGCCGGCTTCTTTGTTATTTATTGAGTTTTAAAACAAATGAATAATGACTCTATAATCAAATAATAATAAAACACAGAGGACGGAGATAAAATCAGTATCTAGATATCCCTGCCCTAATGCAAAAGTAACTGGTAACTGAATATGTGTCACCGCTTGATGTCTATGTCTGGACTGCTGCGTAAAAAGGAGGGTTTCTGCCCCATTACTTCTCTTCTTCTATAAGAATAAAACACGGAGGACGGAGATCTCTTTTTCTCCCCCTCTTCTGACAGCCCAGCAGCCCCCTCTCCTGCAGGGGGGCGTGGTCAACTGCAGCTCATTTTCCATTAAAGCTCACGTCACAGAATCAGCCCCCTGCAAAAACAGGGCTGGAAAGAGCAAATAGAGCGAAATGAGGCATGGCTAAAATGCAGGATCTGTTATAGGTATGGCCCTACAATATATTGTTCAAATATAGCATGATAGGTCCACTTTAATGCAGCAGTTATCTGTTGTTCTTTTGGAACTCCGGAACTGTGAACAAGAGGGTAAGCAGGTTACTGTGGCACACTGGAAAGCATGTTATGATTTAAAAATAAAACTGTCTTGAATAAAATAATGATTTATTATTTTACAAATGCCCAGCAAAAAGTGTGCCTTTTACCATGTTCCTTATGCAAACAGTGACGACGTCTTGGTCACAGAACCAAAGTGAAATATTTAAATACCACCTTATAGTAGCCCTGGCAGTGAGCACCCCTGACCTGCTGTTATAGAACGTCCCCGGATCCACTCCACGTTTTCTGTTTTTTCCCTGCGTCCTCATTAAACGCGGAACTGTAGAATCAGAGGAAATAACAGGCACAACAAACACGAAGGGCGTGTAGATTAACAGGAAAGCGCTGGTATGTGCTGAGGAATGAGGAGAACATGTGAAGGAAAGCGAGGAATTAGGACGGAGCCTGTTCATTTTCTGCACTATTGCTGCGTTTCTGGAGCATCCGCAGCTCTAACGGAGGATGCTGCTCCTCCGTCCGCTGCTTTAATCTGTGCAGTCCCCTCGGCTGCCTCTCCCGGTGCATCCTGCAGCGGGTGACAGGTGCAGCATGATGCGCGGACAGGAAGGTTTTCCCTGAGCAAGGATTTCTCTGCCTCCTCCAGTACGCATCACCACTGACTCCTGTTAGCCGCAAAGCAGGGGGAAACACTGGAGCATCTCTCCACTGCTTAATTATTTACCAGAATCTGTTCCTGAACATCAGCTGTGTCTTTGTTTTACACCCTCCTGTACATGATCTTAAACCCGGGATTGAAGTGGCGTTGATACGGACTGATGGCCAGGCGTCCCGCATTTCCTCAGCAGGGGGATGCACCCTAAAATAACCCCGGTGCCAAATGTTAAGCGCGCACATTCATTTATGGTGCATATATTATTTACATTTGTTTTCACTATTTTATGCCGAATTATCCCTGCAGCTTTTAGCGCATCGCAAACCGAGGGAGCCCTGAATCTGTGACACGGATCTCCGGAACCCCCCCTCCACCTGTCCCCCGGACTTTTTGATGGCTTATGTGTTCCGGAGATGGAGGGTGTTACTGGTGCTGAACGTGCTCACCGTGGCCGGGTTCATCACTTTCTGGGCCAAGTGCAACACCCGCAGCAGCGTCCCGACCGCCGCCGGCCCGGAGGCTGCTGCGGACGGGAGGAGGGCCCCGGGGAACGGGACCTCGCTGGGGCCCGGCATCAGCCATGAGGTGCTGCTGAAAAGGCTCAGCTCTCTGGAGGATGTGGTGTACCGGCAATTAAACGGTAACCTTAATATTAATGTTGTCCTTGGCTCACATTTCTAAATGTTTCCATGTCGCGATAAGAGGTTAACCACCAAAACAACATGGATAGTTTCACACTACACAACACATTCTCATTGTCAAGTATAGCCTATAGTTCATCAATTAGATTAACGTAATATTCTCGCTTTGAACTAACCTAAAACAATCACTCAAATATGTTAGCATGATACACTTAAAGTCAATTAATTAATTTCAATTTTGTTTTGTTTTCTTGTTGAATTATTCACAAGAAAAATGTATATTCACTAGTTTAACTAAATGCTGGGTGTTTTATTTAAACTTGAGCTTCTGGTGTCATTACGTGCTTCCATTAAACATCTGAAATTATTTCAAAACAGAAAATACATATATTCCTCTCTTAACTAAAGTCATTCTACATGTTTGACTTTTTTGACTGAAAATTCAAAGGTGGGGTAGGTAAGTTTGAGAAACCGGCTCGAGATACACTTTTTGTTATATTCCATGGAATGCTCTTAACATCCCGATAGCAATGAATATCTGAAGTGCTTTGACAAAAAATCCATTAAAAAATGTCATCTGTGGAAGCCGTAGTACTGTAAAAAGCACGACCAATCATCTGAGCCGGTCCGGCTAAAATAACTGGATGGCCTACCTGCCTGTCAGCCTTCCATCTGTGCACAAACAATTGGTTTGTGTGTGTTGGAGGAGGGGCTCTGTAAGGAAGTGGCAGATTTTTTCCGGCTATGTATTTTCAAATGCTAGCGCACTCAAGCTGGTTTCTCCAAAATTACCTACCCAAACCTTTAAGTTTAATTTTGTGTACATAAAGTCTATTGAACCTAAATGCCCAAATGATCATTAACACATGGGATAATGAGTTGGAATTAGGTTGGCTTTGAAGGTAACCCATTTTGGTGATATATGAACAGTCAAACCAGGACAAAAGCAGCACAGCTGACGGGAAGACAACACAAAGGTTACACTGAAATAACATGTCAACCTGGTTTTTCCTCAAGGGGTCTACAAGAGTTCTCCCCCTCGGGCCCTGACATGAAGGCCCAATTCCAAACCACACCCTACCCACTCTCAGCTAAATTAGGCTCCCTTCTTTCAGGTGGAGGGTGTAAAAACAGCATCTCTTGGATTAAAAATATCCAAATAAAACCCACAAATCTTTTATGGCATATATTTTTTGTAAACATATTTTAGTTTTAAAATCTGATGTTTATAAGCTGCTTAGTTTTTGCAAAAGTCAGTTTAAATATACACAACTTTTATCATTTTCTAGACATGAGTAAATGATCCTAAGTTTAAACAAATACGAGGTAACTCTGTATGAAGGTATTAAATGGCTCTTGTTGTGCAGTTTATCAATGAATGTTTCCACGGAACTGTTTGTACACAGCGTGTTCCATGACGGACACACACAGCGTTGGTCGGTCAGGTAGTGAAGCAGGTGAAGTCAGGTGATGCAGATTCTCTGTTGGAGGGCTTGATAACCCACTCCCCTTCCACACTCATTGGTTTGGAACAGCACTTAATGTGGCGAACCTGCCGTGCGAATGCGCAAATAGAGGGGTAGTGTGAAGGGGGCGGTCTGGAATTGGGCCGAAAATGTCATACTGCAGAAGTAATGATATTTGTCCAACTTCTCACAGTACAAAGCAGATATCTGCTTTGACTCTTTTAGCATGTGTGATGAAATTGTCTGCTAAAATAGTCAACCTTGGTTTAATGTGGATGAGGCAAATGGATTTATCTTCCTTTTTTGCATTGAAAAAAATTAGAGGGTGTATAACATTTCTGAAAAGGATAATATTTTGCCTTTTTTCCCAAGAGATGTTTGTTTTCAATTGACTAAAGTAAAATCCCCTATATGCATATAACTTTCAAAACCTCTTTTTTTATTATCCTTAAGTATTGTAGCTAATGTTTTCCTGAAGAGCATCCTTCCTTTAGCGGGGAGATCAAGGTCGAAAGCAGAGCAGCTTTTCGGGATGCCGTGCCTTCAGCAGGATGTTTGCCAACAGGCATGATCACAACTTATCACGTTGAACGATAGTCACTTTAATCACTTCCACCCACAAATACACTTAGTCACACTAGGAAGAATCATATTAATCCCTTATTTGAAACGGTAGCACGTTTGAAGCTAGCAGAATTCAGCCTAGAAATGGAAATGTTTTTCTCTTTAATCTTTAAAGAAAATGAGTTTTCAACACTGAATATGGGAACTACTGACCTTAGTAAAAGTTAAAAATAGCAATATGCCTATTTTACACATTGCACAGTAGCTACAGTGTGGATATGGGAATTGATATGAACTCTTATTTGTTACGGTCAAAGTATGAAAGTAAGGAAGCTCAGTTTATTAAATGTTTGCTTTGTTCCCAACAGGAAGTAAACCTGATTAAATAATTGGGTTCTACAGGCTCAAACTATAAATTCTCCTGAAAAACACATTTTGAATCAGAATATTAAACATTGAAATTGAGTAAGTTTGAAAATATATATAAATATTATACAGTACAATTTGATTCCAATGTACTTTATCTAAATGTTAAAAACTGGAGACTGAAGAGGTTTTTCACATACTGGCAATATGTACTTACCTTTAGAGAACAGAGATATTCATGTACAAACAGAACAGCAGAAACATTTTAACACAAATCAAGCAGAACATTTACGGTTCTCTTTAATCAGCTACGCTGCAGACTCTTCCAGAAGCTCCATCAGGCGGGAGGACGGCTTCCGTCTAACTTCAACGTGGTGCTGTTTAACAGACATGTCAATTATTGTAGCGAACACACATAACTGTAAGTACAGAAAGAAATTGGAAACAAAGATTATGCCTTAAAGGGGACCTATCATGCAAAATGCACTTTGTGATGTATTTTATACATAAATACGTGTCCCCGGTGCGTCGGGGAACTCACGCAGCGTCAGAAAATAAAACCCTCTCTCTTTTCCTCCGTACCCACATCTTTTAAAAACGGGTGAACAACGAGCGGATACAGATTCCATCCGAACTGACGTCAAATCGGCAGCGGACCCACAGAAAGTTGCTATCAGGAAAAATGCCTGACGTGTTTTGGACGTAATCTCGTCTTTGTCTACATTAGCAAGCCTCGCTAACACTCAGAGCTAACCTGTACTGGAGAGCACATGTGTTTAAAAAGCAGGAAATAAAAAAAGGAACTCACCTTGTGATAAACCTGCAAGAGAAAAAGCATTTGAGCTCCATACTGTTTCAGAAATAATCCTTGACGTGGTTTAAACAGGATGGCGTTTTATCACAACCAAATTTAACTTTATCTCCGGTAGAATTCTGATCAGGCATTAGCTCCGCCTCCTCTTCGTTTCTTTTTTTCAAGCTAAGCCCCCAAGATCCGCGTTTCTCTAACAGGGCTTCAAAAGAGGGGTTTGAGCAGTATGATACCTCATTCACACCAACGCAACTCCGGTTCAAGCTCCGTGCTAGAGCTTTTCAGGTTCAGAACCGTTTCTTCGGTTTAGCTCCAGCTCTTTTCACACCGCCCAGAGTCCGACTGGTGCTGCGTCATTGCGTCATCGTTTGCGTCATGACGTAACTGTTTGCGTGCCTGCTTCATAAAGCCAAACCGCGCGGAAACCCCTCACAGCTCACACCGACAACAACAACAATGGCCGATTGTGTTGAAGAAACTTTACCAACTACCAACTTTACAGTCACAGTTACATGCTACATTCAAAACTGCTTTACAATCGTAATCATCAACTTCAACGACGATTCCGATTCCCCCTGCCCCCGCCTCGACGTAAGCGTGGCGTATGCGGTGCTTTTGCTCTAGCCGGACAATGTTTTGGTGCTTGAAACGAACTGGTTTCCGGAGCTAAGAGGCTGCTCCGCTGCGGTGTGAACAGGAAAACCCAGTACTTTTCAAGCTCCAGCTCCGAACCGGCCCTGAAACACCATTGGTGTGAATGAGGTATGAGCAGTGGCGACTTGTCATTAGGGGCACAGCCCCACCTAGTGTCAGCAGAAAGTATTAAAAATAATGATTACAAGAAAATGCAAAAAAGAAATAATAAAAAATATAAAATATATTTTAAGATCATGTTTAATCATCTGATTTGTCTGTACATTGCTGTTTTAGTCTATGTTCTTCTAATTAGTGTCTACAGTGTGTGCCTATTGAGCTGTTCAGAGCCATGTGGGACAAAACCCGATCATGCCCCTCCCTCTCACTGTCTAAGTGAACGGTGACTGTAAAAACTACACTGCGCATGCTCAGAGTATTTTCCTATTTAATGTGTGTGGCAATTTTTTTTAATGACCATAGGGGCACTGAGCTGCCAGCCCCACCATACATCTCACATAATTCAGAGCTGATTGGCAGTAAGTACGTGTGCCGCGAAAAGTGTGGTGTGTGAAGAGGAGACGAGAGAGCTGCAGTGACGCATCCTAAAACCCGGAAGTAAGCTGCGCACGGGTTCCCTCCACAAAAAAGCAATGAGATTTCTCCATAGGATTTTAGAAAATAGCTCAAAATAAGATCTGTGGGAAACAAACCTGTTAGATAAATGCACGTTTTGTTCAGCCGGATAATATCCACATGTCTACCCTACTTTTATCATTTTCAAATCATAAATCTATCGATTAGATTTATGATTCGACTTTTTAAACTACAAGAAGATAAGGAGGACTTTTACAAAAAAGTAATAGAGATTTTTGTCCAGAAGGATAGGCAAATGGACTTCATCTTCAAGTCAAGGTAAGACCGCAGTTTTATTGAAAATGGGATCTTACTGAGAGAACAATTCAATATTTACATGATAAAATTACATTTTTTGGGTATCCTTTTGTTGAACTGTCTGTTTCAAATTAATCGAAGCATCAGACTAAAAAAGCTTTTGAAAATAATATTGTATTTTGATTTAGGTCAAAATATAATATTTGTAAACCTGAAGAGTCAGTGCCAGTGCCTCACCAGCCATGAACCTCACTGCAGAAGCTTATATATAGACATCTAAGTTTGTTGTGCCCCACCACTTTTGTATATATAAAAACTCCACTGAGTATGAGGGATGGCTACAATGGGTGAACTGTTTGGTATTTTGAAAAAAAACCTTCACAGACATGTCTTGTATAGGTATGGCCCTACAATATATGTTTAAAATATAGCATGATAGGTCCACTTTAACTTCAATTTAACCCGCTACAGAAGGAGGCACCAACAGTTCAACTTCCCAGTAGTCTTCCTGGATCGCCCCTCCCCTTCTTTGTCCATGGCAGTGAACGTGGCATACCCTTTTTTTAGGAATCTGGTGTCGCTATCTGTCTCAGTGTACACAGGAAATAAAAGCACACATGTGCATCACACACAGTCGGATGCATGTGAGTGAACTGACTTGACTTCCACAGTAAAGGAAAACTCAGTTTGGCGACACACTGCTTTACTACCGAGCAGCATTTGAAAATGTAACGCGAACACCACCAACAAAAAAACTCTTCTGAACTACTAGTGCGGTGCCTCGGTGCCACATGTTTTATTCAAAACTGTGAATTTCGCCAGCTGTTAACTAATTTGAAGCAACTACTAAACCACAAAGTATTACATGTTGTGTGTGCTTCGTCCATGACAGCAGGCTAAATTAGCTAGCACGCTAACTTGCTAAATTGCTAAGCTGAAACACTGACGTTAGCTAATGTTTGTTTGATATCCACATTAAGCTGACAAGCTAACGGGGATATACAGAGTTAATAAAGTACAAACATATTCATATTAGACGAGGGTCCATGCTGGAACCGTCTGCTTTTTTTCAAATGTCTTTACTGTGCGCAAACTCCTCTGACATGACGTCAGAGGAGTTGGTGTCAGTGAGCGTCGCCCACCTTTACTCACATTGCCCAGGTACATTTTACTAGCTTTTCACAGGTTGTAGGTCAACACATTATTTTAGTTAACATTTACTTGGTGCCATGATTTAAATGTACTTATCAAAATGAAGATACAAAATAAATCGTTTTTATCAGTGTACCTGTACATGGAAGGTTTTCTATGTGAATCTGGGCCACTACTTGTCATAATGTGAATTCAGCTCAAATGTTCACGTGTTTGGACAGCCACTGTCGACATCCTGTATGTTCATGTGAGGCTGAGCTGTGATGAGGAAGCGATCAGCTGTGAGCCACAGAGAGCATTACTAACAGAGTGACTCAGCCCGACTAAAGGATCCTGACATGTAATCTCCTCTCGTTTGCTTCCCCCAGGTCTGTCCAAGTCTCTGGGCCTGATAGAGGGCTTCGGGGGTCGAGGTAAGGGCGGCCTCCCCGCGACGCTGGCCCCCGCTGAGGAGAGCGACGCCAAATACCTTTGGGAGAAGTATGGCTATAACGCATACCTGAGTGAAAGGATCTCCCTGGACCGGAACATACCGGATTTCCGGCCTGCCAAGTGAGTAGATGTCAAGTAGATGCACGTTAAATTACACTTTTAAGGTTGTTTCACAACAATAACATAAATTAGAGGAAGTCAAGGACATATTTCAGTTTTAGGTCTGAAATACACACATGCATAAATAAACACATACATTTTTTACAGAGCAGTGTCAGAGCAAAGTCAAGTGTGGCTGCTGATGGCCCATTCCACACTTCCTTTCCTCTACTTCTGGGGCCCTTGCTTGGGCCATACTCATCTTCGAACATTGCCTTGATTGTGATCATTACTACACATTTAGAACGTTTTCTGATGCCAAATGGGCCAGTGGCGTGGAGTGATAAGACTTATAGACCCTTCCAACTCCTTGCTTAGAGTACACCAATGTTCAAACTCAACCTTCATATTAAGCTCAACTGCACATCGTCATCGTGGCACCTTGCACTACGGTCTTTCAGCATGTTTGGTTACCCATGACTGTTCTGAGGTTTGAGTCAGATACCAGTGTCCCTCACCAGGAGTTCTGTGAAGATTATTTTGAATCCTTGAAAGGTTTCGTAGGATGAGATCTAAAATGGAAACATTAGCTTTTAAATCCAGACCGCCAATGAATTAAATGTTTACTGAGATATGGGATCAGAGGTCGCGTTAACTGAATATTTTCCGTCTATGACGGATTTTTTTTAACAATGACGGAAAAATCTGAAAGCAGTCCGTCATTTTGACAGATTAGAACAAACTCGGAACAGCGCCAAAGTTTCCCCGCAGCGAGGCTCCGGTGTTATGCTCTCCCCCCCTCCCCCACCCCCGTTGACAGTTCACGACCGTGCTCTTTTTATTTTGCTTTATCAACAACAAATACATCTATGTGCATTTGTCAATATTAATCAAGTATTGGTTACTTAAATACTGGGTACAATACTGATCCACATCAAATCAGCATATCATTTGATGTCTATGTAAAAAATTAGCTATGAGTTATATTTGCTTTCTAAATGTAGCGAAGTCGAGGTATATGCAGCATAAAATTGAAATTTGCAATGAAGGTACAAGTATCTGAAAATGGTACTTAAGAAATGTACTTGAGTTGATCTCCTTACTTACAGATTCCACCACTGGAAATAAGATAATATATATTACACAGATAAATATAAACCAATGGAAGTAGGTTGTTTCTTCTCCAACTCTTGCAGCTCAACCCTCCTCACCCTGGAGGCTGAGTGGAGTGTGCCGAGCTTCACTGGCATGGAAAGGTTTTTCTGAACAGATGGTGATCTGTGTTTGCGTGTCTTTGTGCAGATGCAGAAAGGCCAACTTCCCAAGAGATCTCCCCCAGATCTCCCTCATTTTCATCTTCATCAACGAGGCTCTGTCGGTGATCCTGCGCTCAGTGCACTCAGCTGTCAATCACACGCCGGCTCACCTGCTCAAAGAAATCATCCTGGTGGATGACAACAGCGATGACGGTCAGTGGAAATGTTTCTATCCCAAGAGCCAGCAGTGTGGCTTTTAATCGTTCTGATTATATCTGTTAGTTTAATCTGTAAGGAAAATACAGTATGTGCTAGAAGAGGCAGACGGGGAGATTTCAACACAACAGGAGTGGGAAATAAAGCTCCCAGCATGCCTTTTGGTTTCAAACATGGCCAGCACCAGTCAGAATCAGAATGCTTTATTTATCCTTGGGGAAATTGGGGTTTGTGACGGCTGCTTAATTTCAGATAGAGATAAAATAAAAAATAAATACAAATGTAATAGAACTATTTATATAAAGTCAGTTCATTTAGAATATACAAGATCAAATGAAACAAAGATATTTTAATAAACATTAGAAGTAAAATCAAACCCATCCCCCGCTCCCCCCAAATGTTTCCAAGTTTTGTTAGCATTGCTTTTCCTTTATATCTGACGTCTAGCCACAGATTTAGCAACAGATTCAGATCTTCAGGGAATGAGCTTTACATTTAAATATTGAGATCTATTAAATTGTAGTGCGCATATAATCCCATGCTGTTCACAGCCTCCCTGCTAACAAGGCAAGGCAAGGCAAGTTTATTTATATAGCACTTTTCAACACAAGGCAATTCAAAGTGCTTTACAAAAAATGAAAGAGATTAAGAAAATGGCATTTAAAATCAGTCATTAAAAAGAAAAGCTAATAAAATAAACATTAAAAGAAAAAATACATGGAAAAAAGTTACAGTGCAGTAAATTAAACATTAAAAGAAAAAAGTACATGGATCAAAGTTACAGTGCAGTCTAAGATATGAATAGTTCAATTAAAAGCAGCGACAAAAAGAAAAGTCTTCAGCCTGGATTTAAAAGTAGTCAGAGTTGCAGCGGACCTGCAGGTTTCTGGGAGTTTGTTCCAGATATTTGGAGCATAATAACTGAACGCTGCTTTACCATGTTTAGTTCTGACTCTGGGGACAGAAAGCTGACCAGTCCCTGAAGACCTGAGAGATCTGGATGGTTCATAATTTAGCAGGAGGTCAGAAATGTATTTTGGGCCTAAACCATTCAGTGCTTTATAAACCAGCAGCAGTATTTTGAAATCTATTCTTTGACACACAGGAAGCCAGTGTAAAGACTTCAGAACAGGAGTGATGTGATCCACTTTCTTAGTGTTAGTGAGGACTAGAGCAGCAGCGTTCTGAATTAGCTGCAGCTTTCTAATAGATTTTTTAGTGAGACCTGTGAAGACACCATTGCAGTAGTCGAGTCTACTGAAGATAAAAGCATGGACAAGTTTTTCCAAATCCTGCTGTGACATTAGTCTTTTAATCCTAGATATATTCTTTAGGTGATAGTAGGCTGATTTAGTAACAGTTTTAATGTGACTGTTGAAACTCAGGTCAGAGTCCATGACTACACCTAGATTTCTGGCTTTATCTGTTGTTTTGAACATTGCAGACTGAAGCTAAGCGCTAACTTTTATACGTTCTGACTTGGCTCCAAAAACCATTACCTCAGTTTTATCTTTGTTTAATTGGAGAAAGTTCTGACACATCCAGTCATTGATTTGTTCAATGCACTTACTCAGTGTTTGAATTGGAGCATAGTCTCCTGGTGAAATTGTTACGTACATTTGTGTGTCATCTGCATAGCTATGGTAACTTATTTTGTTGTTTTTCATTATCTGAGCCAGTGGTAGCATGTAGATGTTAAAGAGAAGAGGCCCCAAGATGGAGCCTTGAGGAACCCCACATGTCATATTTGTCAACTCAGATGTGTATTTACCTATAGAAACAAAGTTGTTTCTGTCCTTTAAGTAGGATTCAAACCAATTTAGAACTGTTTCCAAAAGTACCACCCAGTTCTCCAGTCGGTCTAGTAATATGTTGTGGTCAACAGTGTCAAACGCAGCACTGAGATCTAATAATACTAACACTGAAGTTCTGCCACTGTCTGTGTTTAAGTGGATGTCATTAAAGACCTTTACAAGAGCAGTCTCAGTGCTGTGGTTTGGACGAAAGCCTGACTGGAACACATCGAAACAGTTATTTAAATGCAAGAAATTACTCAACTGTTTAAAACAACTTTTTCAATGATTTTACCTAGAAATGGGAGGTTTGATATGGGCCTGTAATTGTTCATTACTGAAGCATCTAGATTATTCTTTTTTAAGAGCGGTTTAATGACTGCAGTTTTCAGGGCCTGTGGAAAATTACCTGAGTGAAGAGATTTGTTTACTATATGAAGTAGATCTGAGGCCATGCAAGGCAAAACATCTTTGAAAAATCCTGTTGGAATAATATCAAGGCAGCAAGAGGAGGATTTCAGAAGTTGAATAATGTCCTCTACGTTTTTATCATTAATCTGATGGAATTGTGTCATGATGTCTGAATTGATGTTAAGTGGAGATAGGGACAACACATTTGCTGTTCCTGATGCAGAGGCACTGACTGCTTGTCTGATTTTCTGAATTTTGTCAGTGAAAAAGGAGGCAAAATCATTGCACGCCCTGGTGGATATAAATTCAGAGGCTACTGACACTAGGGGGTTAGTTAGTCTGTCGACGGTAGCAAACAAGACACGTGCGTTGTTTTTGTTTTTGGTAATGATGTCAGAGAAGAACGATTGTCGTGCGTTTTTCAATTCCAAATGATAAAGGCCAAGTCTCTCTTTATAGATTTCAAAGTGAACCTGGAGATTTGTTTTTCGCCACCTGCGTTCAGCTTTTCGACATTCTCTTTTTTCTGTTTTCACGGTCATGGCCTTTCTCCATGGAGATATTTTCTTGCCAGACACTTCCTTTACCTTAGTTGGAGCAATGGCATCTATAACATTTTTAATTTTTGAATTAAAATGATCTACTAGCTCATTTACTGAGATGTTGGCAGGGGCAAGTGTGGAAGAGAAATTCTGAGTAAACATTTCCCTAGTATTTTCAGTTAAATATCGCTTTGTGGTTACCTCTTTTTGAACATTTTTGTGAACAGAAATAGAGCTCTCAAAGAAAACACAGGAATGGTCAGAGAGTGCAACATCAGTCACCACAACCTTAGAGATATTCAGACCTTTTGAGATAATTAAGTCCAGAGTGTGCCCCTTATTGTGCGTGGGCTCTGTCACATGCTGAGTCAGTCCATAGCTATCAAGAACACAAAACAGTTCTTTAGCCCCTCTGTCCTGGGGGTTGTCAACATGGATGTTAAAATCACCAACAATGACTAGACGGTCAAAGTCAATACACACTATAGACAGCAGTTCAGTAAAGTCATCAAAAAAGCTTGCACAGTATTTGGGTGGTCTATAGATATTTAGGAACAGAGCTCGAGAGGAGCATTTCAGCTGAAGGGCCACATATTCAAAAGAATCAAAGTTTCCATACGATGTCTTCCTGCATTGAAGGGAATCATTGAACAGAATAGCAACTCCACCCCCTTTCTTATGCATTCTTTCCTGACTCATAAAACTAAAGTTGGGAGGGGTTGATTCGATAAGAACAGCTGCACTGTTATTTTGTTCAATCCAAGTTTCTGTTAAAAACATAAAATCGAGATTGTGCTCAGTGATAAAATCATTGATTAAAAATGTTTTTCCTGCCAAAGACCTGACATTTAATAAAGCTAGTTTAAGTTTGTTAAACACACTATCAGTCATGTTTTTTGTAACAAGCTGTGGCTGACATGGAATCACTGCTAAATTAGATAAACTCACACAAACGTTTGAGCGCTTCCTGTTTCTATGATTCACCGCTCTTAATCTATTACCTATCAACACAGATATCGGCAAAGCTACTGGCAGGCAGGGCCCCGACATGTCCTGGAAAGAGTTGAGAGTGCCATACGCCCTTGAGCCTGGACCCATCACATATCAGTAAAAGTTTGTTGTGTTTTGTACACACACATCCTTATCAGGCTTCGGAGACTGCAGATGCCCCCTCGAAGGGAGGGGAGGTGGTCGACGTAGGCACGGTGATGGAGACGGGCGAGATGGTGCGGGGGTAGAGGACATGCTGCCAGGGGGGGAGGTGGTTGACGTAGGCGCGGTTATGAGGACGGGGGAGATGGTGCGCGTCTCTGCAGTGATTTTGGTGGGCGTCGTTGAGGAGCGGGGTTAAAGGACATGGTGCCAGCCCTGCGTATCGCCTTCGTTTGGTCTTTGAACTCCAGGAAGGAATCGGTGCCAACCCTCTGTATCTCCTTTGTGTGTTCAACGATCTCCAGGAGGGTGGGCGAGGGTGAAAGGGTGAACGGAGTATCCTCAAAGGCGTTGACAGGGGGGGGGGGGGGGGGACGGGCAGTGGGGACTCCTCCATGTGTCTCATAGGTCTCCCATAATCAGAACATTCCTCAGGCGGGTGCAGTGATAATTCTTCAGGGTTTTCTGCGTGATGTGTTGTGTCTTTCTCCTGTTTTGATTCCTCTTGCCGCTTGTCCTTGGCAGAGGGAACAGATTGATGACGCAGGCAGTTGAATATGTTAGAGATAAACAATTTCACTCCTGACTTGTTCAGGCAAACTCTATTTGCCTTGAAAAGATGTCTGCGATCCCATAAAAAGTTAAAATTGTCAATAAAATGAACAGAATGGTCAGTACAGGCCGTTGAAAGCCAGGTGTTCAGTGCAAACAATCTGCTGAATCTCTCCACTCCTCTTTTGACTGGCGGTAGAGGGCCACTGATGAACACATCTGCATTTAGAGAGCTGGCAGTTTCCAACAAACATTTAAAGTCTTCTTTCAACACTTCTGACTGTTGTTTCACAACATCATTTGTTCCAATGTGCAGTATCACATTCTTCACAGTCGGATGTTCAGCCCCAATATGCAGGATCTTCTCAGCCAAGTCAGAGACCACATCCTTGGGAAAACAGAGTACTTTGGTGTTGTTCTTATTACACAGACCTTTTACATCTCTTACAGCAGAGTCACCCACAATCAGAGTTTCAGGCCCAGTTGTTAGCTTTCCCTCTAGCCTTTTACTTTTAGAGTAGCTATTGGTCCTTACCCTGCTGTGTGA